TGGGGGGCTTGCCCTTGTGTTGCGGGCGAGGCGGGCATAGGCATTACTGTACTTACGTCCGAGTGGGCGGGCACCGCGTAATTACCCTGGATGGTGAAGGCTTGCCCACCAGCCAGGATCACTGGCCCACCAACTTGGGGTTTAGGGCGATAAGGGATCGTGGCGCCTTTGGGAGGGGACTGAAACAGAAACAAATCACATCGGAAATCAGCATCAACATCGGCGTCTTTTTCAACGTGCTGCCCGCTCGACTGGGAATACGCGCTCCAGGTGGCTCGGGTGCGCGCATTCCTTCTCTACTTCGATCGGGCATGCGAATGCGCTTCTCGGTGCTCTTACCTCTAGCATGACACAGCATATGTGATATATGCACTGAGTGATGGCCTCGCTGGTGCCACTGATGGTGACGGCTCGCTCGGTCGAGTTGGGTAGCATCTCCGAGGCGACTTGAATGGAAGCACCGGTGACCTCGCGTATCTCCTTGATCTTGGAACCGCCTTTGCCGATGAGCGAGCCGCATTGAGACGCCGGCACGATGAGCCTCAGTGTTATCGGTGGCCTTGGTACTCCAGTGCCGCCGCCGCCACCTTGCGAGTCGTGGAATTGCGAGCACCACTCTTCGAATTTCTTACAAATCAGGGTGAACGCCTTGAAGATGGAATTCGTCGGGCCGGTCACGGTTACTATGCGTTCCGGACACGAGCCGTCGGAAATGTTGATTTTGGCGCCAGACTGAAACGCACACACACACGGTTTATTACTGCGCCGATCAAAATTGGCTGAAAACCATTGCGCGACCACGTCGAGTTAGGCGCGCGCTGCTCGAAAACGTCAGCTAAACGATTGAGCGTTAATGCGCGCGACGATGATAATCGGCCAACTCTCCGTGCGCGCTATTTATAACTCCGCTCTCGTAGTTTCGCAAAGCCGAGGTGCTCAACGAGAATGCAGTAACCCAACTGAAATCGCACTTAATTTGCAAAAATAAAAATGAAAAAAATCCAACAGTTCGTCCGCGGACGATAAATAACTCGACCTTAATCACTCTGAGCCAATTAAAAAAAATGAGCGTCGCGAAAATAGGAGGGCTGATCGCTGACCAACAAGCGATCAACGGCACTCTCTCCGCTCGGCATTGGCGGCGCGCGCAGACTCACCTCCTCGCGGAACCTTTTAACGATCTCGCCCTTCTTGCCAATGATACTGCCGACCTCCTGCAAAAGAAAGAAACGTGCGTTAATTATATCCTCGCTCTAATAATAAAGCGCAGTGGCGCGCGGGCCGTCCAGTCGACCGATAATGTCGCGCGCTCTCCTCCCAGGTATGCAGCCGGATTTTCTAAACTTAGAGCCGCGAGACACACGACCTCCTTGCAATACGACCGAACGACGCCTGCCCGTGTACGCGTAACCGTGCGCGCGCGCCCGACGATTTATTATCGATAGGCTACTTCTCGCGCGCGGATTTCGCTTGGACGTGTGGTCGAATCGACTTTTCGCTCGGCGGCTCCCGACGAAATCGCGGGACAACGAATCGCGAGACGTGTCTCTCTCTCTCTCTCCGCGGAAGGAGCCTCGCGGAAGATCGTTAACCTCGCTATCTCGTGTTTTTTTCCATTCCCGCTGCCTTCCACGCCGCGCGCGCGTGTATTTATTGGCTGCGCGCCAGCAACATTGACATTGAGGCCGCCTCGCGAACGCGCAGCGCGACGTGGATGACGAAAAGGGCGACAATATCGTGCCGTTGTTGCGAAATCTTCCGACGGGCGCGCGCGCTCAAAGGCGAGGAATCGAGTTAAGAGGCTTTTAGGTCGAGTTAGGCCAATTAACGGAAAAACTTTTCCCGCGCGACGCGAGATCGATACGCGGGCCGCTCATTCGATTTTCGGAAACGCGCTCTTCTTTTTGCTTCGGTCATGGTGGAAATTGCGAATTTATCGCGTTTCTGCTTTTCGCCCCGCGGAAGGTAAAACTTGATTTTACGACAACGAAGTCACGGATATTTCTCTGCCGAGAGTGGTTGTTGCGCTACAGCGATGAATGGAAAGGGGCGTAGGGGGAGGGGGCAGAGCTCTCTTTCGTGATTAAAAACAAAGGTCGCTTTCGGAGCGAAAGCCGAGCGAGGAAAGAGCGACAGATTGAAAATCAATGCTCTGCTCTCCGACGGCGAACAAGCTCTCGAGAGTCGAAGGAGAAAATAAAAGGGGAGTATCGTCTGACAAGGCGCCTCGAAATCAGGTCGACGTGCTCGCCAGTCGGCAAACCTCCTCCACGGATGGGGAAAAGCCGAATGCCGCGGACGGCCTCCGCTGGCAATCGAAGCCCGCGCCCGTTTAACGAGCTGCGAACGCGCGAGTTAAATTGAATCGGCGCTCGCAAATGGCCGACGCACCGATAAATTCAACTGGCGCGCGCGTTCCCCCGAGCGAGCTGCGTCGATCGAACGAGAGCAGAGAGCAGACGCGCGACACCTGCGCGCTCGTGGCCGCGAGGCGATTCCGCGTGCTGCCGGCAGCGAGCAGACGCGAAGCCTACCTTTCCCTGCATGATAAGTCGTATGGTGAGCGTGACCGACGGGTCGTCGTTGAGCACGGGCTTGTTGTCCATGCCGTCCATGTCGACAGTCTCTCGCTTGCTGCTGGTCCGGGGCTTCCGGGACGTTGCTGGTGAGGATGGGGTGGGGGCGCCTCACTCCTCGGCGAGCTGCTCACCGTCGGCGATGCACTCGCGCCGACTTTCGTGCGGCTGAAGTGAGCTGCAAAAGGAGCGAAAATCACTCGATTAATCTTCCCGAAAATAGCAGCCGTGACTTTTCGCGGCAGAGGCGCATCGTCGCGATGCACGCCCTTCCCATTTCGCCCCGAAATAATCTTTCGCCGAATCCCCCATGGGGGTCTTCGATTCGCGCTCGCAATTATCCGCCGTGAGAGCGTGTCATCGAACTTCCGCGCGCGCCGAGTACCGATACACAACGCGCGCACTTGTCAAACGTCGCGCGAACTATTTTTAGGCGCAACTGCAGGCAGACGCTGTCGCGCGAGCAATAAAACAGAGAGGACGGCCGAGCGTCTAAATAACTCGATTCGCTAGCCGACAGAAGAGAGAGAGAGAGAGAGAGAGAGAGAGAGAGAGAGAAAGAAACGCACCGCTCGTGCAGGCTAATGAATTATGTCCGTCTCTGCTTCTCTCTCAGGCGACGACAACGAAGAAAAAGAAAGCGCGTGAGAACCGACCGCGCGACTGCACTTTTTGAGACGCGCACATGTGCACGCGACACTTGCGTAACTGCGCGTGTTGATTAAAAATCCTACTCGCCGCGTTTTATATTCATCCGCTTCAATTGGCTTGCAGCGCGCGGCAAGAGCGAGCGTGAAAGACGAGAAAGATATGCAGGTGGTGAAGAGGAAGTGCTTTCATAGAGTTTCATCATACAGCGCAAAAACGTCGGGAATCTAGACAAAGTCCATAAATGCACGTCCGTCTTTTGCGAAAACTGCTATTCACGTCGTTCGATTACAATAGGCTTGTTCTCTCTCTCCCTCTCTCAGTTTCAGATACGAGTTGCCTATTTCTAGTTCATTTTCACCTCTCACATTCCTAAAAGTACAAAGTTCAATTTTTATTTTCCGCGAGTATATGCGCGTTCTCTCTCCTGTCTCCTGATATCGACGTCACATTGAATCCACAAAAAAGGAAAAAAAGATACATAACGGTCTCGGCTGTTTTGACGGAAAAGCGCGCGTGCCCGCATTCCGTCAAGAGCGAGAGAGAGAGAGCGAGAGAGAACTAATCCACTTCGCAGGCCAGGCAAAGCGACTCGCCCGTTATGCGTTCGACCGGTTCCTCTCTCTCTCTCTCTCCCGCTTTTTCGCTCGATAAGTGCAGCAGCAGCTACAGCGGCACAGCAACGCTCTCGATTCGCAAAAGCGACTGTGCTACATCCACGCACGCCTCACGACTGCCGGTGAAAATTGTCCTCTGTACGCGAAACACTTTATATTTTTTTTATTGCTACAATCTCTTCGACCGAAAAGAATCAAATCGATAGCATCGCGGTGCCAAGTTTCAAAGAATTTAATAAATAGACAGGCACACATTGAAAAATTTTTGCTTGGCGCGAACAAGTTGTAAAACAGCGTCTCTTTCTTTTGCTCTCTCTCGCTTTCTCTCTATCTCTCTCTCTCCAATTCACATGCTGGTTATTTTTCTCTTTTTCCATTAACACATGTGACTGTACAATATACATGTACCGGCTGCTCTTGCATCGAGCAAAAATAAAAATTACGACACGAAAACGCAAAAGAGGTTAGCTTTCTCTAGCTGCGACGCGTCTAACCTTAAAACACACACACAAGCATGGCGGCGTTCGTCACTTTTGGCCCAAAATGGAGCGGTTTGCACGCGACACATGCACACACGGACACTTTGTTGTAGCGAACAAGAGAAGAAAGAGGAAAGTTTTACCTTCGAAAGGAGAGTTGTAATCGTATGGTTTTTTCCGAAGCTTTCACATTCGACGACAACGGGAGAAAGAGAGGGGATATATTGAGAGAAGAGACTGAGAAACCTCGGAGAAACGAAACAAGAATCACCAAAACACCGCGCGGGCACTGCACACTCGTCGTTTTGTTCTTTTTCGTTGTTTTACCTTTATTTGACACGGGAGAAGAAAAAGATTGAACACACACACACGCACCACCGTTGCTCCTCGCCGACTGATGCCGCCGTCGGCGAAGTGGACGGTGAGAAAAGTAGGGGCGGCGGTGTGCGCGGAGCGCTAGCTGCGCAGATTCTGCGCGCGTCGATGCTGAAGCGACCGGAGCGAAAGAGACAGAGAGAGAGAGAGAGAGAGGGACCTATACGCGTGCGCGCGCGCGCGAGATGATTGAAAAGTGGGTGTTTCGTGACCGTCGTAATGCATCTCCGTTTGTTTGCTCGCGAGCGTTTTTGTTACGCAGTCGCAGGAGAGAACTTGCGAGCGAAATAAAAAGGGACAATTCTCGCAATTTCGAACTTAACTGTTGGCATTTCGAAAATTTCGCGTTGTTTGTTCAACGTTTCCTTTCGTTTGCCGTGTGTGTAACACACCGCATCACACGTAATTAATTTGCGCAGTAAGCTTTCGACGACTAAATAGAACGCGCGATTCGTTACCTCATATTTGTCGCTCGTTAATATTTCCATTTCGCGATTCGAAGCACTTTGCTAATTGCCGCGCGTTTTCGAAGACGCGCTGATGTTCGTTATATCGCATGAGAAACGAAAAAAATTGCGGATGAACAAACTGGAACAATTTGCATTTTTAAGATCGCTCGTGGAAGCCTTCGCGGCGGCGGCCGAATTTCGCTTCAAAATCGTCTTTTCCGCCTGTCCAACAGGGAACAATATTAAGAACAACGGCCACAACGACGACGACGAGTCTTTAGAATGCAAAAAAGGATTATGCGCGTGCAACAACTGCAACACCAACAAATTTTTCGAATCACGCTACAATTTCACAAAGACGCTGCCAGTCCTGTTCCTTCTCCGCGTTGCGCGTGAAGTTCGCTCGATCGAGAAAGTGCGCGAAACTCGATTTTAGGCTAAATTGAAAAGCCAGCGACGACGGTCAAAGAGGGCGTCTCGGTGGTGCTTCCCACCTCGATCATTTCGTATCTCTGGGGCTCGCTTCGCCGCACTCGAAGCGCCGTTCGTTCGAAAAAGAAAAAGAAAGAGAAAAGGGGGGCAAAAAAGAAACATCGACGAGCCTTTCAAACGGTACACGCGTGCGTCTGTTCGCCAACTCTATTATCACATTTCGAAACTCATTATCGTCCCGGTGCAACTTCTCCGCTCCGCAAGGAAGTTCGGTCGATTGTATCGACGGTGACGAACAATTTCGCACGACCGAGTGATATTGCGAAACGCCGATAAATTCCGAAAAACAACCGATACTGATGGGAGGAAAAAAGAAAGGAGCGGGCGCTCCTATCTGATTCTTCGCGTTTAATTACACGCGATATTTAGCATTTCCCACTCTATAATCGAAGTATCGGCTCCTCGCGTCGTGGAAATTTAATTACGACCGCATGTCCGTACCAATTATCGGAGAATTCAGCCGTGGGCTATCACACGCGCCCGAACTCTAACGTGATTCGCCCCACCCCCTCCTTTTCACCCAAAAGAAAAAAGAAAAACGAGGCTCGTTTCGGCTTTTTCGCCTAATCACAGACGACAAAAGGAACACGCGAAGGAGTGTCGCTCGAGGCTTCGCGCATTGTTTCCCCGTTCGCCGGGTCGAGGTTTGTTTGATCAGTCCTCGTTAGCGACGAAAAAAAAGAGGAAGAAAAGGAGCCTCTTGATTTGCCGAGCGTGAATCTTGCATGGATTGCCTGCCGGCGACGAGCAAAAAGTTGGCCTCTCTCGCGGCCTCCTTCTCCGAAACTGTAGGGCATCGCGACGCGCTTTCCCGCGGCGCCGCTACTCTTCGCAGCGAAAAATCTTGCCTCGTAGAGTAGATCATATCGCGCGTCCAATTAATGAGCGCGGCGATCGATTCTAATGAAGAGCGACACGCGTTCTGTCTCTCTCGCTCGCCGTCCTCCATTTCAATTGCAGATGCTCTCGCGCCGAATCCCCGTCAATCTTCCTTAACGCGCCACTGCCAGGGCGAAATTTCAAAACCGACATTGCCTGCGGAGAGCAGTTTTTATCCGACCCTTTCCGTAACGCTTTGAAAGCTCTCGGCGAAGAAAAATAAGCAACGGAAAACAACGAAAGGTCGAAAGCTCGCGGTCGTAATGCGCGAATCAAGTCAGATTAGATTCCGTCTTTTCCGAGTGGGAGCAACGGAAGGGGGAGCGATGGGTTAACGAGCGAAAATCCAAAGTCATTAAAGCGCGGCTCGCGTCAGTTAATTAAAATCGTCGGGTCGGATCATTTTAAGGCGAGGCGACGTCATCCAATTTGTCGCGCTTTCAGATTAATCAATTTTCGCGCCTCGCGCGCGCGCGATGAAAGCCTCGAGTCGTCGAATTGAAAAAAAAAAAAACAAAAAAATAAAATTTGCGAACGCGCGCGAGAAACTCTGTTCCGCGCGCGCGCTAACAACGGGAATCGCTTTTTTCGCGTCGCGGTGTCACTTGAAACTTATTCGCACGCGCGACTTTTCTCTTCTCGTGCTTTTCATCGCCGCGCGCGAGGCAAAAAAAAAAAGAAATAAACGCCGTCATTAACACGAGAGACGGACAACTAAGAAGCAAAGCTCCACGGGAGAGAACATTTTTTTCGCATCTCGAGGCCCTTCAGCGGGTATCGAGCGAAAAACGGGAATTCCCGGAGGGGTTGAAAACTCGCGGTAAAAAAATTCTTTCTGTTTTTTTCTTTTTTTTGCGACGTTGCGTTAATGATCAAAGGAACTCGCTCAATTTTTTCCACGTCGACTTTTATTAGGGAGGAGAGGAAAGGAAGGAAAAAAAAATCGCCCGAGCAGATTGGATTAATTCGGCCGACGATGTTTTTCCGCGGTCGTTTATTTTTCAATCCGCGTCCGCAAACACAGAGCGAACCCTTTCGATTGGATTGTTCAATTACCAGCGTATTGCTCGAATATTTGACGCTCAGTTGAAACGTCGGGCTCCGCCGTGCGCTCGACAGAGCAAATTAGCGTAAGCTTGCGTCAATGAGAGCGGCGTAAAATCGCGGGACAGCCAGGGCGATAGCCGTTGAATTGAATTTCGTCGCGGCGAACGGGTGGCTTGCGGGCCGTCGATCGTGCAAGGAGATGCCGCACGATAGCGGCTCGCATGAAGTGGCGCGCCGATTGAAAAAAGACCCGCGAAAGGCGCCGAATTTGCCGAGTCTCGAATCGAATCTCCATTATAAATAGCCCGTAAAATCGCGAGGCGGAGATCGAAGCCACGCAAACATTTATAGTCGACTTTGGTCTGTCGCTCGTGGCACGATAAATCGTGGCGGCGCGTTAGGCGAGCGTCCAAATTGGGGAAAACAAGAGCCTTGCCTCTCGAGAAAATTATCGGGAAGCTCTCGCGGCGCGTCTCTTATCGACGGCCCCGGCTTGTCTGCCTATGCCCCCCATTGCCGAGCGGATTGCCGAGAGAGTTTCGTCGACGCGCGGGATGCCTCGATTCCACTCTCGCGCGTGGTGCGTTTCTCCGAAAAAGAGGAGGAAAAAAGGCAACGGGAAATCTCGTTAGAACGAACGAGAGACTCTAATGATCGGAGAGAGAAAGAGAGAGAGAGAGAGTGCACAATGCCAGCAATTAGCGCGGCAAAACAGAGAGCCGAGCGAACGATCGTAGAAAAGAAGACGCGTTGCCTTGCGCTCGGGGCACGTAATTGCGCGCCGGTCAACCGGGGGCTTTTCAAAAGGAGCCCCAGCTCGCCTCACCGAGCGAGAGGAGAAGTGCAGGCCACCTTTCGAATTGCTAATGAAAGGACGCCCGGCCGGTTTGCGTATCGACGGCCTCGCCGGCGCGATAAAGAGAGAGCTGCGCTCCGCGAACGCGCGTGCGCCGAAATTGCCAGCTCGGCGGGGCACGACGGGCCAAACGCGATATTTTATATCGTCGTTGGAGGCCGCGGCGTTGCGCTCGATACGTCGCAGCCCGTTCGTAGACTTGGTCTTGTCGTTTCCACGGTCGATTCGGTTCCGGCGATTTTAATTCGATCGAAGATGATAAAGAAACGAACCACCGTAAGCTCCTCCGCCAACGCGAGGCCCTCCGTCCGCGCGCTCGCTCTACGCATGCACACGCGCAAACGGCAAATACGTCCTCGGAGTTGATATTAAAAAAGAGCGCGGAGAATCCGAGGAATCCGGCGGCGCGCGACGCGGATATGGGTTTTTTCGCGGCGGGACCGCCGCGGAGTGAATAGAGCGAGCGTCTGAATGCCGTCTGCCGGCGCATCCTCTTTCTCTCATCCAGAGTTCTCACAATGCGATATACAGAATGCCGCCTCGGATCCGCCTCCCCCCGCTGCCGCTCTCGACAGATGATATCGCAAAGAAACGCTCGTCGTTCCGCTTGATAGCGCCCGGCAATTCCGTCGCGATAAGGATCGTCCGGGGATTCCGCGGGCAACTCTGCGCTCGGGCGAAGCTCGACCGACCAGCCGAAAGTCCGCCGCCGCGAGTAGCGCAGCCGCGGCTGCGATCGGCCGCGCGAATCCCCGGACGACGCGCGGGCATCGATCAGACGTGGGTCGCGGCTCGATTTCCGGCGCGCGCTAATTATCCCGGGGCCGCGCTGCCGCCTCTCGACAACTGGCGCAGCTGCTCACCCTGAGGCGTCCCTTCGTGGAGAACGTCCCGCGCCACACTGGCTGCTCTCGCAAAGGGCAAGATGGCAGTTGGCCCACGCGCGGAACGCGACTTTCGTTCTCGGCTACTTTGAGGCCGCATTAACGAGAAACTCATTTTGAAAATTCACGTTCGTCAACCAGCATTACCGTCGTTGGAGGCCGCCTCTGGCTAGCGTCTTACAATGAAAGTAACGTCCGACGGGGAGTCGAACTCTCTTGGAAGAAGCAATACGTCCCGGCTCCAACGAAACTGGTAGTCGGGATTGGGACGTGCGGCGCGACGGCGCGACAGGGGAGGACGTCTCGCGATCGCGGTGTGTCGCCTAATTAGCGGTAGCCGTCGAGAAACAACTCGGCGTCGATACCCGTCGCTCGAGCGGCTGAAACTCGGCGAGCGATCGACAGCCGCGCGTCAAAAGCCCATCG